AGAGCATTCGCCAAGGTACAGGATAGTTCTAGAAACGTGGCGTCACACTAGTCATGTGACTTCGCTTACGCAACAATATCTTTAAGTATTGTATGTTATTTCACATCAGTGTAACAAAAGACAAATCTATTGAGGATCCAAGATAAACATGCTATTCTGCTATTGCATATAATGATCTGGAAAGTATTTGACTGTGATAAGAATCCAGTTTTCTATTGTATACTGTACAGAGTGTTGTGTACATTATACTAAAACAATTTTCGAGCCTCATCTCGACATTACAGTCCGTGTTGCCATGTCTGGCCATGCTCTGTTTGACGACTGCATCTTGAAAATAGCCCTGTAGCAAAGTTTCCAATGTGAAAGGCTCCGTCATAAGGCTGCCTATTCCTCTCTACGCGCTTTCCACAATCAATCTATAATATAAGATGTGGGTTTACCAGCACCAATTTAAACCGTTCGATTACACAGAAATCCATAAATGCTGCATCTGGTGTTTCTTGCAATTGTTGAATGGGATGTATGACTGGAAACCTTACCTTGGTGAACACATAACTTGTTGACCTAGTTTTCAGATATGATCCTTCTTGATTATGTTGTGTACTACACGTCACGTGGATGTTTTTTTTATTCACTGACCTGTGTTTGTGTATTATCACCTGTTATGAGATACTGCACTTTGCTTATCATGTCTGGGGGGTATGACTTATTACAGGTCTTTTCCTAGATGGTTCTGGTGTCCCAAGTTTGACCGTATTTTTTTTTTCCAGTGGCATTAAGTACAAGGGTCATCTCCATTTTGGACATTCTGAATCCACAATTTAAATAAATATTTATGATCTGAGTGTAGGAATATTTTGTATCAGAAAGGGCTGTTACATAACCTTCTCAAAAGTGATCAACTTTCAGTGAATCATACCACATACAAAACATCAAACAATATCAAAGTGACATTCATTCCACCATGACTCTATTTAAGCCGTGATTGTCATGTGACGTTGGTTTTCATACTCAAACTCATTTTAATTGAACATTCTAAACCCTCTATTTGAGATTCTAAGGAAAATGCTTTTTTGTAACAGAAGTCGTTATACACTCTGCCTAACAAATTCTAAACCATTTGCTTGTTTCTAGAGTCATCTTTTAAATTAGTTCTCAAATAAGAAACACTTTTGTTGCTTCAGTATCAACTTTTATTTTCAACTACAACCATACATTTTTGCCCAGAAAAGGACAATTACAGCTTCTGATTTCATGTATATTTGAAACATTAACACATGTGAATAGAACAACCTTGCTACAAAACAGAAAATTAACCACATGGAAGACAAAGTTGAATTAGCACTCACAGTGACACAAGTCACTATCTAAACATCTCACCTATTACATAGATATGTTAAGATCCATGACTGAATTGATCAACAATAAACTGACTTAGTTTTGGCTTTCTTGAACATGCTTATGTAAGCTAATTCAGCCATTTTAACAATCAATTGGCTTAAATATGGCTTCATTGGACATGTAAGATGACCACACTATTCTTGGCAGTACATGGGTTTAGTTTAGGCTCATGCCAGATGACTAAGTTACACTTTGTTAACAAACAAAATTGTTATTATAAAATATCCAAATATATGTAAACCACTCTTTTAAAAAAAAGTTACTAAAAAAGCACCAGTTATAAGTAATTTGAATAAAATGATCGAGTACAGAAGTTTTTTTGATAAATCCTCCAAAAATAACGATTTTTAAAATATCTTTTCATTCAATACATTTAAAGACAGAGTAAAAATGACTTAACACTTCATTCAAAATTAATTTAAAAAAACTATTTTGAAACCTAAGCAGATTACTAACACAAAATTATCAGTTGTATCAAAATGCAAATTTTCCAAAACGTCATCTAAGATTTAATTTCTTTTAACCCTTTCTGGACCAGAAAAGTGTCACTAATATCTTTTGATTTTTTCCCCTCTTCATAGTAAAAATACTGAACCAAACTGCATGAAATTTGGTGCAAACTTACAAAACAGTATCTAGTTTTGGCTTAAAAAATTCATACAATTTGATTTAGTATTTCCATTATATTTTACATTGTGAAATTTCCAACCAAAATTTTCTGATACACTGCTTTGAAATACTTTCTTTGGTCTTAGAATTTAAATTTTTTTCATTGTTAATCAGAAAATGTTATTCTATATATTCAATCAGTTTCAACTTAAGTGACTGACATTAATATTTCTTTTAATACTTTATTTTGTTGATTGCAGTCGTCACCACTTCCAGCTATATAGTGTAAAAACAAAACAAAACAAAAAACTCTCAAAAACTGACAAAAATTTCAATATGGCATTACCTTTATCAGGCTAGGTAACATGGTTTTTGCTAATATTATATTTGGGAAGGTCAATTTATATCTAATAAATGTGGCTTATTTTTTATTTTGAATACAATAAGCTTAACATCAATACTCGGGAAATAAGAATTATTTTGCTATCTTCTACTATACTTGCTAAAGCTAACTAAGTTTACCTGGTGACTTTTCATAGAAAAAAAATTTCTGTAGCTTTCAAACAGATGTAATTTAACATAAAAACATTTTCAGGAATGAGCAGGTCATCTAAAGAAAATATAAAAAAGTTCCCAAATCTTTGGTTTGGTCCTAAACATTTTAAACTTCCAATTAGTTTCTTGTTCACACTTCAATATGAGCTATGGATAGCTAATATTAATTTTGAGATACTACAAATTACTGCTAAAACCACATTATTACAAATAGTTTATGATCTGTTTTACTCAAGCCAGTTTTAACAATCCTTTAGTTACTTTCAAAGCCGAGCTACATTAGCAACTGTTCAAACCACATATTATTAACAGAGGCGGAAATCAAGCACTGTAGTAATAAAACCACTAACAGACCACAACAAGACATGATCAAATATATTTTTCAAGGGTTTCTTAGTTAAAAGAAAGGTTTATTTTAGAATGTGCAGGAAAATTAAAAAAAATATGATAAATGAGTTGTTTATAAGTAAGACTCCTTGGAGCTGTGTGGAAAGTTGAATAATTTTTTCATTCATCTTTGCAATTACTCTAAATAAATGTTAAATGACAAAATATGAACTTGGGATACTTTAAAATTAAAAAAAAAATGTTGAAAGAAGGCTATTAACATTAATTTTGAAATTTGACGTGTGGGTGTGCACTTGACACCTGCAAGGTGGTCATCGATCATGATAGGGTTAATCATATCATCTGTTCAATTTAAAAGTAAAACTGCTCAATATACTACAGTAGTTTAAAACTCACAAACTGGGAATTTACTTTTTCCAAGTCAAACAAATCATGATTCTTTTACAAAATAATTGAAAATGTACATAGAAAAAATACATTTTCCATTAGTATGTTAAACAATGCTATAGAAGTTAAAACAAGATTTCTGAGACACACACATGCATATATAAAAATACTTCTTTTAACTATGGCAAAAAATCAAAACCCTTTTTCTACAGTAAATGTTTCACATATTAACAAATATCTGTAGGTTAAAGGCCACCATAAAGGTTAGACTTTTGGAGATCTGTACAACATACACAACAGTGTTAATTTTTAACAATGAATTCCTTTCTGTTCTACTCTTCAGTGTTACCCCTACAGTTGTTTTTGAAACAAGGAATGGAGTTCATAATAGTTATAGAACCATTTTTATTCACAAACAGCCACTTACTTCATCTTCACCAACATCTGAAAATAATGTCATGTTGCATATAACAATTTTAACAATGTAAGGGTCTTCAGACCTTGAATTTCATATAAAAGAAAGATTACTCATCGCAAAAGACCACCCAGGTCTTAATGACTTACACAAATCTTTAGACTTAAAAGTATTCTAAATCACTTTACTTGATGTCTCATGTTTCACACTACAGTCGAACCTCGATTATCTGGACTCACGAAAATAGCCTGGATAGTCAAAAATATGAATATTAATGAGACATAAAATGACAACTGAATAAATTATAAAAAACAAAATTTAATTGTGTAATCATACTTGGATTTCAATGCAAAATTAAACAGAAGATAATGATTTTTTTGTAATGATTACTACTCTTTTTACGATTATGGTTTATTAATATTCATGAAAAACTGGGATCAGAGAGAAAAGTCTGGATAATCTAAAAAGTCCAGATAGTCAAGTTTTGACTGTATTTGTTACTTCCATTAAATAGCCTGTGCATTTCTTTCCTTTTAACTTTTATTCAAATGTTTAAAATATCATGATAATATTAAGTATAATCATAGCATTATTTTCAGATTTCATTGAAGATGGAATATTATAAAACATCTAAACCATTTATAACTAACAATGTTTTTAGTCTTATTGCCTGTCTTTATTATTAGACTTAATTTTCCCACAGGATGAGTTAATTATCAGAGCTTAGAACCAGATTTAAGATAGTATATTTTGATAACAACCTACATGCTAGTCATCAAACAACTAACAGACTACTTATGTAACTAAATAGTTCTTTAACAGCCCACTCTGTAGTACAAATGAATGCAAATATATCAAATGCTAAACCTAACTGCCTACCTTACACAGTTCAACTTGAATCGTCTTTTTGTACATACCCAATAAAGTTGAGCTACATTTGTTGAAGTAACTATGCTGTGCCACGAGTTGTGGTGATTGAAGTAAATGAGAGAAAAAGCCTACTTTGCTACAACTTGAGCTGCATTTGTAGATGTAACCAGGGGTAACAACCTACTCTTCCACAAGTTATGTATTGAGCATTTAAAAAAAATATTTCTCAGTGTTAACTTTGTTTATCCAGCATTTTGTTTACTTTACACTTTCTGTACTAATAATAAGAAAATGATGTTATATTTCTAGTGGTGTCAAGCAAATTCAAAATTATTAACCTAATTTATGGATGTTTTTATATTGCCAACCCTCCTTCAAGAAACAAACTATGAACTATGCTAATTTTATTTATTTAAGAATATTTTCAGCTAATAAACTTTACTCTTCAACTACAAACGGTATTTGTAAATGTAAAACTTACAAAAAAAAACAGTTTTAAATTAAAAAACTTCTTAAGCAAATATTCATTATAAAGGGCAAATAACATAAATCAGTGAGAAACCAAGTTTGTTGACACAGATTTCAAGGTTGTTCCCAGAATGAAGCCACTGATTTCAGAAATAACAAGTGAAGTTCAGAAAAAAAAACCAAAAAGTATTTACTTATTCAAAACAAATCTTATGAGCAAAAAATTGAAAACTTATAAATTCATACCTGACATTATTTTTATAATAATAAAAAAAAATTCATCACCTAGAAAGATTTAAAAAAGTGATGTTACTACAGATCTACTCAAGGAATCATTAACACCAAATTCCAAATGTTAAATTTTTAACAATGTGAAACACTAAAATGTTTATATTTCTAACAATATAGAAAAGTTTAACTTGTAACGGTTATGCATATTCATTTATTTATTTCATCTAATAGACTGAAAGAAAAATATTTTCGTGGATTATAATAATGTGTGGTGTTTCCCTTCTTCAAACACTCACACATCAAGCTTCTTTTCTTCATGTATTATTAAAAAAAATGTGAATTTCATTAAGATAATTCAATATTTCCCGTCCCTTAGAAATGGCAGTGACTCGGTATTTTTACGTTGTCTTCAGAGTATAGAAGATCATTGTTCTCTAGGTAATTAACAACAGCACCAGCAGAGTGAAACAATAAAGTCACATGCAAAACAGAATATCGATATGTCACGATCTATTAATAGGTTGGAGCTCCTGTATCTGAAAGGAAAACAAACAGGTAACTTTGTAGGCATTCTATTAATATTACCAAACAACACACACAATATGTCATAAATGTCTGAAGCTTTTAGTGTTACATCAATCCAATTACTGAGATGTTTTCAAAATATTTATTTCTGTTGGGGTCAACGTACTGCATCACAGTGACAAAAAAACATTTTAATACACGGAAGACCCCACCCCCCAACAATAACTAGAAACAGAAGGATAAATTGTAATATTGATGGTATTTTAACTCTATTTTCTATTTTGTTGGGGGGGCAGGGGTGTATGTTATTAGGAACAGTATAATCAGTAGTTATGGACTAACAAACTATTTGCATAAATAGTTTAGAAAAACGTGTTTGAAACATCGATGGGGAGTCAAAAAAAGAATCTAGTCAGTAATTTTAGGGTTATGTTACAACTGAAAGTTCCTTATTTTAGATTCTTATTTAATTGATTACATCTTGAGGTTTTGTAAATAAGGGTTAAACTGTCAATGATATGCAGTTAATTTGCTAGGACTAATTTAGAAACTTAAATTAAAAACAATTCTTCAGTAAAACTGTACATATATATTAATTACATACTCATTTTCTACATAACCAAAGTGGGACTATAATTCATGTTTTGGAGCAAACATCCACTATGATTCCAAACCTTCAGTGCTTGTTTACCTCTTGTTTGAGATTTTTAATGCATTTTAACCTCACATTTCTGAGCTTTCAATTCATATTTACTTTGTATTTCGAGAGTCTTAATGCAAATTTACCTTATGTTTACCTCATATTATTAATTTTGTGTTCCTTGACTTTCAGCGTATGTTTTCCCGATATTACCAAACTTTACGGTATTTACCTCATGCACCTGGACTTTTAATAGGGGTTTACTTCAAGTCTTCCAACTCGGTGTTTACAGTAGAAAGTTGTAAAACCATAAGAATAACATATCAGTTGGTTTTTCCAGAGCATGTTTGAAAGTTAAAAAAAATTCTAAGAATTCATTAAGGTCCTTTTTGATATTTTTTTACTTAAATTTTAGAAAGTCAATTTAACCCTACCAATACGAGTCTTTCTAAGGTCACAGGTCAAAGGCCATGTCATCGCCTTTGCAGACTCACATTCAGAATTTATTGAACTACTATTTTATAAATGGATGTCAATAAGTTTGGTATCAAATTGTAGATTCTAATTCAAATTTTAGTATTATACATTAGTCAATTTCTTAATTTAAAATTAAATATTAAAAAAAACACCTAAATATTGATTTTTGTGTATCACATGGTAGGTTGAATGCAGCATTAGTTTAGATTAGATGTTTGTGATGTTCAAAATACAAAGTTTATAGTTTCTTACGAATTAGATACTCAAATTACCGATATTGACAAGCTAGAATATAAGATAAGAACCTCTTATCTTTTCTATTTTCTGAGATATTAGTATATTTATTGAATCAACCAAGGTGGCCCTGTCCACCTCTTCCATTTTACGTACACCTACTTCACCCAATGACGCGTGTATAGCTAGATTCCAAGCAGTAAGGCACGACTTTAATGAGCTCGTAAAATCATTTTTTTTAGACCCAAATACAGCTTAGTTTGATAAATTATAGTGGAATTCTGGGGTATTGATATAGTTATTTATGATTTTTTGTTATTTTAAATGTATATAAAAAAATTATTTTGTTTTACATCCTCCGTGTGAGAAATTTGATAAGGCTTAGCAACTTATAGCAAGCAGTATTTGAGTACAAAGTTCGTAACTAAAAGAGATAATTGTTTTCTATACTTCTTTATTTACTGTTTTATGTTTTAAAAAAACAACTGAAGTCTAAGAAATTATTTGTAACTAGTAATTGTTTGTTTGTTTGAAGTTAAGCGCAAAGCTACACAATGGGCTATCTGTGCTCTGCCCACCACGGGTATCAAAACCCGGTTTCTAGCATTGTAAGTCCACAGACATACCGCTGTGCCACTGGGGGGCTTAAATAGTAATAATGTATATACTTATATAACGTATTATAACCTAAATGTGACTGTATTTTACAAAAACACAGACACGATGGGCCAACCTTATATTCTTGGATACAGTAACATGAGTGCATGTGTGCCACATCATTGGAACTTCTGTAATGTTAGTCAGGCATGGGTGAAAGGTCAATATAATAAAAATAATAAAAAGATATAGATGTATAATGTTATGAGATTTAAGCTAAACATTAGTGGTTTCATGTTATGATTTGTTGTCATTCTAGAACGAAAAAAGCATAATTCCCTAATTTTTTATGGTGGTTACGAGGTTGGTCAAATCGATCCAACCTGTACAGAGATACAATTGTGAAAAATAACAGATAAACTATAGTGTTTTCTAAAAAATATGTTTTATAATTATCTGGACATTACAAACATTTCACATGTGAAATTTGAAAATTTTCTGATGTATAAAAGTATTTTTAATTTTAAAATCAAAATTATTTTTCATGTTGGATAGTCAATATTTGAAAAGAAAAAATCCATCAGCAAATCAGTACTTAAAAAACTTAAAATTTGATACAAAAGTTTAATATTTTGTGTATGAATGCATTGTAATGTTTACTGATAATCTATAAAAGTTTGTGAAAATCAGCATTAAAAGTTGGTTTGGTTTTTTAATTTTGCACA